CTTAACTTTGCAAATGAGTTTGTCTAACTAAAGTAGTAAAACTGAAATTTTAGAGGTTAAAAGAACCTCATATGTGCCTTGTTTTTATGGAATAATTTTTATATGCATATGTGTATTGTCACATTTACCACATTTCCATGTTACCTAAAACTTCAGGAAGAATTGATGTAGTTTACTCTGGATTTATGAACTATAATGATTTGATATATCACCAGGTAGTATGACTTAATATTTTATTTTCTTAATCCTGTTATCAAAGCTAGAGTACCTGCTCCTTGGGATTTCTGTGAGAATTAAATTAACAGTGCCTGTAATGTAGTTAAGCACAAGCAATAGTTAACAGTAAATATTGCTAATCATAAAGCACTGGGTGACTGTTTACTCCTGTACGGAGAAAACTGCATTTGTTGCTCTGCAAACATCTGTCTGTTGTCTGCCATCTATCAAGTGATGTGCTTACTACTGTGGCACAGCTTTTTTAGGGGAAAATAAAGACAACCATGGGTCTCGCCTCAAATTGTGATGTTAATTTAACAGCTAACATTTTAAGAGGGCAATATGGTTTACATAGTATTTTAATATACATTGTTGATTAATCCTTACCACAATTCCTTGGTATTAAGGTTCTCTTTTATCAGATGAAGAATCTGGGACTTAAAAAGATTAAGATGATACACAGGTGATAGGAGCTGGATTGAAACCCAGGCACTTTAACTCAGGATTGTGGTTGGTCAGCCCTGAACCATATTGCAGTTGTAGTTTTATTTTGTTTGAGCAGTTTTTTTTTTTTTTTTTTTAATCCTTTACTCATTAGAATTCCTTGGTAGTGCTTAAAAAGTGCTGAAACCTGGGACATAAGCCTATAGATTCTAATTTAATTGGTCTGGTGTGAACCTAGACATTGGTACTTGTTAAAAGTTTTTCACTTGATTCTTATGATTAGAACTACTTTGTCAGGGAATGGTGCTATAAAGGGAGTTGGAGGTGGTGGCATGTAACCTTGGAGCTATGGGATCTAGGGGCTGAAGCTTTCTGCTGGGATGGATTCTTTATAGCCCAGTTACTTATAACTTTGATAGTGATGTAAAACTTCAGCAGAGGAAGAGATTCTGACATCAGAGCTGTAAAGAGTAGGATGTCCAACTGGAAGAATTTGGGGTGACTCTGGTGTGTGGTCATTTAAGTGCTTCCTCATTGAGTTGGTGTTATAGTCCTGTTTCTGTACATAACTATTTTCTCTGCTAGATAGAAAACCACTAAAACCAGCCTTGAGAAAAATCTTCAATTTCTTCTGTGGAGAGGACCTTACTCTCTGCTCCTAGCTGTCTCTAGGGGTTATTCCTGTGGTGTGTGGGTCAACCACAGAATTGGAATCTACACTAATTTACTTACACGAGGAAGTTTGAATCTCTTAATTTAGGTGTTCTATCGGTGTTTAACCTAAATCTTTAGCTTAAAAATCATCTTCTGCTTTTTCTAGCCTCAGTAGAAATTCAGAACAGCTATATTTATTAAATTAATATACTGAAAGTACTTGTATACTATAAGGAATTGATTAATTCATGGTTTTAAGTACTGATATTTTCTTATATTCTGAAAAGAAACTTGTTATGACGCTGTAAATGCAGTTAA